GATCTTCCTGTACCGGGGCACGAACCCGTGCCCCCTGCATCGGCAGGCGGACTCTCCACCACTGTGCCACCAGGGAAGCCCCAGCTGGGGAACTTTTATAGGTGCCTTTTGTCAGCTTCAGGTAGTTCCCTTATATCCTTATTTGCTGAGTTTTATAATGAAAAGATGATAAATTCTGTCATATACTCTTTTTTCTTTTACATCTATTAAGGTGATCATGTGTGGTTTTATTTTGTTTTTGTTTTTTGGCACATGCTAGAAGATTTAATCTTTAAAATAAACATTAAGTTAGGCATTCTATTTGCAGGAGAAACTGACATTCAAAGAAGTTAAATAACTTACAGAGCTAATGGGAAGTGGAGACAGAATTGTCCAATATATTCAAGGGAAGGTTTGTGTAAGCACATGGCTCTGGGCTCAAATAAGGGAGGATATGCAGCATACTCTAAGCTCTCATTAGTTCTCTCTTTTTTTTTTTTTTGAATTTTATTTATTCATTTTTTTTACACAGCAGGTTCTAATTACTTATCTATTTTATACATATTAGTGTACACATGTCAATCCCAATCTCCCAATTCATCACACCACACCGCCCGCCTCCCCCCAACTTTTCCCCCTTTGTGTCCATACTTTTGTTTTTTACATCTGTGTTTCTATTTCTGCCTTGCAAACCAGTCCATCTGTACCATTTTTCTAGATTCCACATATATGCGTTAATATATGATATTTTTCTCTTTCTGACTTACTTCACTCTGTATGACAGTCTCTAGGTCCATCCACGTCTCTACAAATGACCCAACTTCACACCTTTTTATGGCTGAGTAATATTCCACTGTATATATGTACCACCTCTTCTTTATCCATTCATCTGTTGATGGACATTTAGGTTGCTTCCATGACCTGGCTATTGTAAACAGTGCTGCAATGAACATCGGGGTGCATGTGTCTTTTTGTTTTTGTTTGAATTTTATTTTATTTTGTTTTTATACAGCAGGTTCTTATTAGTCATCAATTTTATACACATCAGTGTATACATGTCAATCCCAATCGCCCAATTCATCATACCTCCACCCCCACCCCCTGCTGCTTTCCCCCCTTGGTGTCCATACGTTTGTTCTCTAAATCTGTGTCTATTTCTGCCCTGCAAACCAGTTCATCTGTACCATTTTTCCAGGTTCCACATATATGCGTTAATATGTGATATCTGTTTTTCTCTTTCTGACTTACTTCACTCTGTATAACAGTCTCTAGATTCATCCACGTCTCTGCAAATGACCCAATTTCGTTCCTTTTTATGGCTGAGTAATATTTCATTGTATATATGTACCACATCTTCTTTATCCATTCATCCGTCAATGGACATTTAGGTTGCTTCCATGACCTGGCTATTGTAAATAGTGCTGCAATGAACATCGGGGTGCATGCGTCTTTTTGAATTAGGGTTTTCTCTGGGTATATGCTCAGTAGTGGGATTGCTGGGTCATATGGTAATTCTATTTTTAGCTTTTTAAGGAACCTCCATACTGTTCTCCATAGTGGCTGTATCAATTTACATTCCCACCAACAGTGCAAGAGGGTTCCCTTTTCTCCACACCATCTCCAGCATTTGTTGTTTGTAGATTTTCTGATGATGACCATTCTAACTGGTGTGAGGTGATACCTCACTGCAGTTTTGATTTGCATTTCTCTAATAATTAGCAATGTTGAGCAGCTTTTCATGTGCCTTTTGTCCATCTGTATGTCTTCTTTGGAGAAATGTCTATTTAGGTCTCCTGCCCATTTTTTGATTGGGTTGTTTTTTTAATATTGAGCTGCATGAGCTGTTTATATATTTTGGGGATTAATACTTTGTCCGTTGATTCATCTGCAACTATTTCCTCCATTCTGAGGGTTGTCTTTTTGTCTTTTTTATAGTTTCCTTTGTTGTGCAAAAGCTTTTAACTTTCATTAGGTCCCATTTGTTTATTTTTGGTTTTATTTCCATTTCTCTAGGAGGTGGTCAAAAAAGATCTTGCTACGATTTATGTCAGAGTGTTCTTCCTATGTTTTCCTCTAAGAGTTTTATAGTGCCTGGTCATACATTTAGGCCTTTAATCCATTTTGAGTTTATTTTGTGTACGTTAGGGAGTGTTCTAATTTCATTCTTTTACATGTAGGTGGCCAGTTTTCCTAGCATCACTTATTGAAGAGACTGTCTTTTCTCCATTGTATATCCTTGCCTCCTTTGTCATACATTAGCTGACCATAGATGTGTGAGTTTATCTCAGGGCTTTCTATCCTGTTCCATTGATCTATACTTCTGTTTTTTATGCCAGTACCATATTGTCTTGATTACTATAACTTTGTAGTATACTCTGAAGTCAGGGAGTCTGATTCCTCCAGGTCCATTTTTTTCCCTCAAGATTGCTTCAGCTATTCAGGGACTTTTGTTTCTCCATACAAATTTTAAGCTTTTTTGTTCTAGTTCTCTAAAAAATGTCATTGGTAATTTGATAGGGATTGCATTGAATCTGTAGATGGCTTTCAGTAGTATAGTCATTTTCACAATTTGATTCTTCCAATCCAAGAACTTGGTGTATCTCTCCATCTGTGTCACCTTTGATTTCTTTCATCAGTGTCTTATAGTTTTCTGAGTACAGGTGTTTTACCTCCTTAGGTAGGTTTATTCCTAGTTATTTTATTCTTTTTGTTGCACTTGTGAATGGAATTGTTTCCTTAATTTCTCTTTCTGATCTTTCGTTGTTCGTGTATAGGAATGCAAGAGTGTTTTTTTTTTTCTTCTTCAAAGTTTCTTGATATGGTAAATTGCACTGATTAATTTTCAAATTTGAATCGTCCATGAACTCATGGAATAAATCCTACTTAATTACGATGTATTATTTTTTATAGGCAAGGATTTGATTTATTAATATTTTAAGAAGTTTTAGTTCTATGCCCATTTTGGATATTGTCTGTAATTTTCTTGCAATGTTTCTGTCTGGTTTTGGTATCAGAGCAATGCTGTCCTCATGAAATGAGTTAAGAAGTATTCCTATCTCTTTAGTTTTCTTGAAAACTTTGTGTAGGGCTACTACTATTTATTCCTTAAATGTTTGGTATAATTCCCCAGTGAGGACATGGGCCTGCAGTACACTTCATGAGAAGGTTTTTTATAATTTTTTATTGAAGTATAGGTGATTTACAATATTGCGTTAGTTTCAGGTATACAGCATAGTGATTTGTTGTTTGGTTATTCTTTAGATTATATTCCATTACAGGTTATTACAAGATATTGGATACAATTCCCTGTGCTATATAGCAAATACTTGTTGCTTTTTTATTTTACGTATAGTAGTTTGTATCTATTAATCCCATGCCCCTAATTTGTTGCCCCCCTCCTTTTTCCCTTTGGTAATCATAAGTTTGTTTTCTACATCTGTGAGTCTGTTTCTGTTTTGTATATAGAATCATTTGTATTATTTTTTTTGATTCCACATACAGCTGATATCATATAGTATTTGTCTTTCTGTCTTACTTACTTCACTAAGCATAAAATTCTCTATGTCCATCCATGTTGCTAAAATGTAACTATTTTATTCTTTTTTTAACGCTAAGTAATATGCCAATACACACACATACAGACACACAGACACACAGACACACACACACACACACACACACACACACACACACACACAAAACATCTTCTTAATCCAATCACCTGTTGATGGGTACCTGGGTTACTTCTATGTCTTGGCTATTGTAAATAGTGTTGCTATGAACATTGGGAGTGCATGTTCCTTTTTGAATTAGAGTTTTCGCTTTTTCCAGACATATACCCAGGAGTGGGATTACTGGATCATAGCTCTATTTTTAGTTTTTTAAGTAACCTCCAGACTGTCTTCTTTACTGGCTGCATCACTTTACATTCCCACCAACAGTGCAAGAGGGTGCCCTTTTCTCCACACCCTCTCCAACATTTATTATTTATAGACTTTTTGATGACAGCCATTCTGACCAGTGGTAACACCCTGTGGTTTGGATTTGCACTTCTCTAATAATTAGTGATGTTGAGCATCTTTTCATATACACGTAGGCAATCTGTATGTCTTCTTTAGAGAAACGTCTACTTAGATCTTCTACCCATTTTTTGATTGTGTTGTTTGTTTTTTTAATATTGAGTTGTATGAGCTGTTTGTGTACTCTGGATATTAACCTCTTGTCATTTGCATCATTTGCAAATATTTTCTCTCATTCCATAGGTTGTCTTTTGGTTTTGTTGATGGTTTCCTTTGCTGTGCAGAAGCTTTTAAGTTTGATTAGGTCCCATTTGTTTACTTTTGCTTTTGTTTCTTTTGCCTTGGGACGCTGACCTAAGAAAATATTGCTACAACTTTTGTCAGAGTGTTTTGCCTATGTTTTATGGTGTCATGTCTTACATTTAGGCCTTTACACAATTTGAGTTTATTTTTGTATATGGTGTGAGGGAATGTTCTAATTTCATTGTATTACATGTAGCTGTCCAGCTTTCATAAGACCATTTGTTGAAGAGACTGTCTTTTCTCCATTGTATATTCTTGCCTCCTTTGTTGTAGATTAATCGACCATAGGTGCATGGGTTTATTTCTGGGTTCTCTACTCTGTTCCATTGAACTACAATGGAGTAGGTTCTCTACTCCATTGATCTACATGTCTGTTTTTGTGCCAATACCATGCTGCTTTGATTACTGTACCTCTGTAGTATAGTCTAAAGTCAAGGAAGGGTTATATCTTGAGCTTTCTTCTGTTTTCTCAGTATTGCTTTGGCAATTCTGGCTCTTTTATGGTTCCATATAAATTTTAGGATTATTTGTTCTAGTTCTGTGAACAATGTCACAGGTATTTTTATAAGCATTGCATTAAATCTGTAGATTGGTTTGGGTAGTATGGCCATTTTAGCAATATTAATTCTTCCAATCCAAGAGCACAGTATATTTTTTCCATTTCTCTGAATCATGTTCAGATTCCTTTATCAATGTTTTATACTTTTCAGTGTATAGGTCTTTCACTTCATTGGTTAAGTCTATTCCTAGGTTCTTTTGTTTGTTTTTAGATGCAATTTTAAATGGAATTTTTTTTTAACTTACTCTTTCTGACATTTCATTATTAGGGTAAAGAAACACAACAGATTTCTGTATATTCATCGTGTATTCTCTTACCTTGCTGAATTCATATATTAGTTCCAATAGTTTTTTATAGAGTAGCATTCTCTATATAGAGTATTATGTCATCTGTAAATAGTGACAGTTTTACTTACTCCTTTCTATTTTGGATAGCTTTTATTTTTTTTTTTCTTTTCTGACTTCCAACACTATGTTGAATAGAAGTCATGAGAGTGGGCATACTTGTCTTGTTCCTGAATTTCAGGAAGGCTTTCAGCTTCTGACCTTTGAGTATTATGTTGGCTGTGGGTTTGTCATAAATCACCTTTATTATGTTGAGGTATGTTCCTGCTATACCCACCTCCATGAAGGTTTTTATCATGAATGGATGTTGAATTTTGTCAAATGCTACTTATGCATTTGACAAAATTTCCTTCTGCACAAGGATGGTTCAACATACAGAAATCAATCAATGTGATATACCACAATAACAAAAGGAAAGACAAAATCTACATGCAAGAAGGTTTAAGTTGTCAAATTTACAGGCATAAAGTTGTTTGTTTTATTCCCTTACTGTTCTTTAAATGTCTGCAGTATATGTAGTGACCTCCTCTTTTTCACTCTTGATACTGGTTATTTGTATCTTCTGTTTTCCTGTCAAACTACCTATAGGTTTATCCAATTTATCAATCTTCTCCAAGAAGCAGGTATTGATTTGATTCTCTCTATATTATTTCTCTTTTCAATATCATTGATTTTTTCTCTGTCTTTATTATTTCCTATTGGGGTTTAAGTTGCTCTTTTTTTTTAGTTTCTTATGGTAGAAGTTCAGATTATTGATTTGAGACTTTTCTTTTTCCAATATAAGTATTTCATGGTTTAAATATCCTTCTAAGCAATGCTTTTGCTGTATCCCACAAGTTCTGATATTTTGATATGCTGTGTTTCATTTTTATTATATTCGAAGCACTTTCTAATTTCCCTTGTTAGTACTTTGTCTTTGATTCATTTATTAATTGTAAGTGTCTGCATAATTTTCAAATATTTGGGGATATTCTAGATTTATGTTTTGATTTCTACATTCATCCCAGTTTGATCAGATAATGTACTCTGAATGATTTCAATTATTTGAAATTTGTTAAAAATTATCTTATTGCCTAGAATATGGTATTAGAGAATGTTCCATGTTCACTTGAGAAGAGTAAATATTTTGCTATTATTCAGTGGACCCTTTCTTTCAAGAGTAAAAAGCCCTCCAGTGTCTCCCTGCTTCTGATCATGCTCTAATGCCTTAAACATTGTTTTTAAGTAAGATTTGCCCAGAGTTTATAAATCATATCTGTGAGACAATTAATCTTTTACAATTTACACTATGATTTCCTGTAGCCAAAACTGTCAGACTTCCTGTAATACAAGATAACACTTTCTTATGTTTAAGAAAGTGTGTGTTGAATTTTTTGATGCTTTTCATGGAAAAAAAGTCCTAACTTATGCATATACACAGTAGTTTACAATGTATAAATTGGAATGCCAAGAACCTGTGGGGTGAGAGGGGGGAAGCTCTACAAGTAGAAGTATTTTATACTTGATTTGACCGATATTAAATTAAATTAGAAACCAATTAAATAGGAGGATCAAGCACATATGGCTGTTTTTACTGTAAGTAAAACAATTTACAAAGCATTTCTACAGTATTTACAAATTAAGAAGGAAATAAATGGAAATATTATTACCTTTACACTGAGGAGGGTCACTACTCCATTTGTCATTTCCAATACAAACAAGCTTGCTCTCTCCAACAAGTGAATATTGATCTGTTCCATTTGAAGCATCACAACTATAAGTTACTACTTCACTGTATTCAAATATATCCTTATGGCTATTTGTGTATTTTCCATTTAGAATTTTTTCAGGTGGTTTACACAAAATCTCTTAGAAAGGGAAAAAAATAAGACATAAAAGGCAAAAGGAAAGGTAAAAGATTAAACAGCAATTAGTAAAGATATATGAATTGCCTTCAATAAATTAACATATGATTTCTACAAGCTAGTTGTGAATCCAATATCCATTTAGAAGGTTTCTATGAGAAAATGTATTATCCTAAATTCAAACTATTAATTTAGAAGTGAATTATTTAAAATAAAACTAATTTTCTTAAATAACTACATTAAAAATCTATATGAAACATATTTATTTATCTGCAAGGCCATACTAAGTTTTGTTCTCATCATAAGAGATGTTGACAATTTAATGATATGATATAATTATGATTAAAAACAGAACTCAGTGCTGGTTGAGAAACACTTCATAATTTATAAATATATCTATTCACTAAATCAGTTCTTCACATTGATACCAAGTATTATTGTCATTTTTCACTTTCATCCTTACAAGTGTATGGTGAAATTTTCCAGAGGCTATAAATTGTGTGATTTTGCAAGACACTGAATCCAGATGTCTTCCTTTAAGCCAGATATTGAAGAAATTTGCAAAAATGTAAAACAATGCCACTATTTGTTTTGGAAATTTTTGATTTTTCATAGAAGTATGTTGTATATACTAACAGGTATTGTGCTTACTCTTCTTAAAAATGAATAATAATTATTTTAAAAACTTTTCAGTTTTAATTCCAATATAATAATAGCAAAAGATATAACCCACATAAAGAAAAGTTCATTGGTATCTATGTTAATTTAAAAGCATAAAGGGGTCCTGAGGCCCAAAGTTTGAGAACTGCTCCTCTATATTCTAAAGAGAGAATATACTTACTTTCACACATTGGAGGAGTATCACTCCAGTCCACAGTACTTCCAGAAATGTCACAGTATAGAATACTTGGTCCAATTAAGAAATAACTAAATGAGAAAAGAAAAGTTACTATGTTCTTTAGTAGTTACAAGATGGACATAATAATGAAAACAATTTTATATGGTTGTCTTCTTGCACTATAGTAATTTGAGGGAGAAGTTCCTTAAACAAAATATAATGTAAGTGCTAACTAAATATGCAACTTAATTAAATAGAGTTTCTGCATGTGAACACACATTGGCCCACAGAAAAATGTCTAAATTACTCTGTCATGTTGTCAGTGTAGCCCCTCCGCTATCTCTGGCAAATGCATCACACGTTCACTTCTCTACCCTTTTGCTCACATCATTCTGCTCAGTAAGGACTGAGCAGACAGATCAGGCCCTAGAGCTTGCCTGCCTGGATTCAAGTTCCAGCTCTAAGACTGACTTATTTGAGCTTGGGCAAGCCCCTTAGGCAAGGTTCTCCTGCTCAGTTTCCTCATCTATGAAAAGGGGGGTAACACTACATACCTCATAGGACTGTTCTGAGGATTGGATGAGTTAGCATCTGGCACGTAGTGAGTACTAGGTAAGTTTTAGCTTTTTTAAACATTCTTTAGATAATATTCTTTAGATTCTTTATTAATATTCAGAATACAGGCATACCTCATCTTACTGCTCTTCACTTTATTAAGTTTTTAACAAACTGAAGGTGTATGGCAACCCTGCATCAAACAAGTCTATTTGTGCCATTTTCCCCAAAACGTTTGCTCACTTCATGTCTCTGTGTCACATTTTGGTAAGTCTCACATATTTCAAACTTTATTACTATTATTATACTTGTTATAGTGATCTGTGATCAATGTCTTTAATGTTACTACTATGCCTCTGAGGCTCAGATTATGGTTAGCATTTTTCTGGTAATATAGTAGTTTTAAATTAAGGTATATACATTTTTTTAGACATAATTCTATTGCACACTTACCAGACTACAGTATAGTATAAATGTATGTAAAAAACTCATTTGATTTGCTTTATTGCAGTGGTGTGGAAAGGAACCTGCGATATCTCCAAGATATGCCTGTATCTTTCTAGTAGTAGTTCAGGAATACTACTCAATGAAGTATTCTCCAATTATTTAAATTCATAATACACTCTTCTCCTTCTGGACTCTCACTGTAACGATCATGAATGATTCTATCTATTTGGTGCTTTTCATTTACTATTTTGCTCTGATGCCTCTCTATATATTCTGTTTCTCAAGAGGGCTACAACTTCCTTGATTCTACATCTTAAACTTTTGGTGCCTAGTAGCCTCTTCTAAATGTTCCAGCGGAACATTCACTGGATATTCTGCTATTTTTACTTAATCAAGTTAAAAATACTCAGTGTAACTGCCTGTACCCACTTCCAGAGGACTTTTCCCTAAAGGCTAATTCATTGATTCTAGATTATAATGCATTAGGAGAGGATTCTGGGATGATGGCAAAATAAGTGGCAACAGAAATCTGTCTCCACACCTTGATGATGACACTGACAGAATCTGCCTGATATCACTATTTTGGAAGTCTAGAATCTGTTCATGGCTTGCAATTACTAGGAGAAGACTTAGGTAAATTAACTTGATTTGAGTCAATTTTAGCTCTTAGCACAGTGGCAGCTACCTATCCCCCCCCCCACCCAGCTGGCATCTGTACACGTGTTGCTAGAGCAGCTTATAAGTAGCCTGTGGGAGCTAGGGTGGGCAAAAAGGAATCTGCCCTCCAAGTATCAGGGATTTGTGTTCTTATCACTGCTGCTTCTGATCACAGAGAAGCAGAAAAAGAGGTGGGCAGCCTTTGTTGTCACACCTCCCCCAACTTTTTCAAGCTCCTTCAACACTGGACAAATGATATCCAAGGGATTTAAAATCCAGCATCCTTTGCCCCTCCCCTTCACTTTTACTTTTTTTCCACTAACAGGAGCCAGACATTAAACACTAGGACATTCAAAAATAACTGCCATGTGGAAAAAAATTAGAAAATGATTCCGCCTGCCCAGAGAAAGGCTCAGAAAAAACCTGAGATGACCTTCAAGTTTATATGTCAGGCTGCTCCTCAGCACAGAGACACCATACAACAATCAAAAAACCAAACCAAAACAAAACAAAAAAACCCATAAAACAATAAGCTCTAGGTAGTGGGCAGAATCTGATTTCCAGAGTTACCACATTATTAGATTCAAATATTGATTCAACAAAAAAGTTGTAAGGCATACAAAGAAACGGGAAAGGAAAAGTATGGCTCATACAGTGGAAAAATACATGAACAGAATTTTTTTCTGAAGGAGACCTCATGACAAATCTATCAAAGACTTTAAATGTCTTGTGAAGGCACTCTCAATGGAAATTAACGGATGCCAGTTCTGCCACCCCATTTTTCTTCAGTGAAGCAGCCAAACAGCAGACACAGAGAAGCCAATGAAGAAGCCAAACAGCAGATCTTTGTGAAGACCCTGACGGGCAAGACCATCACTCTTGAGGTCAAACTCAGTGTCACCACTGAGAATGTCAAAGCCAAAATCAAAGACACTGAGGACATCCTGCCTCACCAACAGAGTCTGATTTTTGCAGACAAACAGCTGAGGATGGCCGTACTCTCTCAGACTATAATATCCAGAAAGAATCCACCCTACACTTGGTGCTTCACCTGCAGGGTGGTATCATCAAGTCTTCCCTCTGTCAGCTTTCCCAGAAGTACAACTGCAACAAAATGATCTGCTGCAGGTGTTATGCTCACCTGCACACCAGTGCTGTCAACGGCCACAAGAAGAAGTGTGGCCAAACCAACAACCTGTGCCCCAAGAAGAAGGTCAGGTACATCCTCTCCACTGGCTCTTCTTTTGCCCACAGGGTTGCCCCCTGCCTAAGCCCTGCCCTTGAGCCTCGTAAAATTTGAAAGAAATAACTGGGATAAAGATGCACAAAGAACTAAAGGAAGAAATGTAGAAAGTCAAGAGAACAATATGTGAACAAAATGGAAATATCAATAGGAGCTAGAAAAGCTAAAAAGAATCCAAAAGTAAATTCTGGAGTTGAAAAGTACATTAATGGAAATGAAAAAGTCACTGGAAGAATTAAAGGCATATTTGAGAAGAAAAAAGAATTAGTGAAATTGAGATAGGGTAGTGGAAATTATTGACTCTAAGAAACAGAAAGAAAAAAGATTGAAGAAAAGTGAACAAAGCCTAAGGGATCTGTGGGACACCAACAAATACACTGTGGGACTCTCAGAAGGAGAAGATAGAGCAAAAGGGACAGAGAGAATACTTGAAGAAGTAATGGCTGAAAACTTCCCAAATTTGATAAAAGAAACAAATATGCCAAAAGCTTAAAATTCTCCAAAAGCTTAAAATTCTGAGTGCAGGTCTCTTTGTATTCATCTTACTAAGATACATGATAATCAGACTTTCAAAGGACAAAGAATGCTGAAAGCTGCATGAGAGAAGTGAATCATCACATACAAGGGATACTAATTAAGATTTGTCATTAGAAACTCAGAGACCAGAAGACCGTGGATTGATACAAAGTGCTAAAAGAAAAAAAGTCCTCTGTTTCCTTATTTATCTTCTGTCTAGTTGTTCTATCCATTATTGTGAGCGATGTCTTGCAGTCTCCAACTATTATGTCGAAATGCTTATTATGTAGAAATGCATATTTCTCCCTTCAATTCTGTCATTGTTTGTTTTGTTTTGGTTTGGTTTTTTTGGCTGCCCTGTGAGGCTTGTGGGATCTTAGTTCCCCAACCAGGGATTGAACCCGCGTCCCCTACAGTAGAAGTGCAGAGTCCTAACCACTGGACCGCCAGGGAATTCCCATGTACAATGTTCAATGTAAAATAATTCCCATGGTAACCACAAACAATATAACTATAGAATATACACAAAAGGAAATGAGAAAGGAATTTAAACATTTCACTACAAAAATCAACTACACACTAAAGAAAACAATAATGCAGGAAATGAGGGACTCGAAAAAAGCTATAAAGCATATAGAAAACAAGTAGCACAATGATAGAAATAAATCCCTCCTCGTCAATAATTATATTAAGTGTAGATGGAATAAACTCTCCAATCAAAAGACAGAGATTGGCAGAATGGATAAAAACACATGATCCAACTATATGTTGTCTACAAGAGACTCACTTGACATTCAAAGACACAAATGCAGTGAAAATGAAAGGCTGGAAAAAGATATTTCTCACAAATAGTAACCAAAAGACAGTAGAGTAGCTATACTAAAATCTGACAAAATAGACTTTAAATGAAAAAGGTTACAAGAAACAAAGAAGTAAATTTTATATTAATAAGGATTCAGTACTGAAGATATAACAATTATAAACATTTATGTACCTAATGACAGGCTATCAAAATATATGAAGCAAAAAATGACAGAATTGAAAGGAGAAATATGCATTTCTACATAATAAGCATTTCTACATAATAGTTGGAGACTGCAATACCTCGCTCACAATAATGAATAGAACAACTAGACAGAAGATAAATAAGGAAACAGAGGACTTCAACAGCACAGTAAAACAACCTGATCTCACAGATATATACAAAGCATTCTACCCAACAACAACAGAATACACAGTCTTTTCAAGAGCACGTGGGACTTTTTCCAGGATAGACCATATGTTAGGCGACAAATTAATGTTATTCAAAACATAATTAATTATTTAATAAATAATGAATAATATAATTGTTTTATGCCACAAATTAATATTAATAATAGATTTTAAAAGCCAGATATCATAAAAAGTATATTCTCTGACCACAATAGGATGAATTTAAAAATCAACATCAAAAGGAAAACTGGAAAATTCATAAAATTATGAAAATTAAACAATATGCTTTTGAACAGCCAATGGCTCAAAGAAGAAATCAGGGCAACTAGAACATACTTTGACATGAATGAAATGAAAACATAACATACTAAAACTTATGGGATTCGGCAAGAGCAGTGCTAAGGGGGAAATTTATAGCTATAAATGTTTACGTTAAGAAACGATAGCTCTGAAAAAACAAACTAAGTGTACAATTTAAGGAACCAGAAAAAGATAAACCCAAAGTTAGCAGAAGGAAGCAAATAATAAAGATTAGAACAGACATAAACAACAACAACAAAAAGAGCGAAACAAGAGAGAATATCAATGAAACTAAAAGTTGGTTCTTCAAAAAATGCGACAAAAGTGACAAACCCTTAGATTGACTAAAACAAAGAGATTAGACTCAAATTACTAAAATCAGAAATGAAAGCAGGAATATCACTATAGATTTGACAGAAAAAAAACTATTATGAGAGTACTATGAACAATTTTATGCCACAAATGGATAAACTAGATATAATGGACAAATTCCTAGAAACACAAAACCTACCAAGAGTTAATTACAAAAACAGATAATCTGAATAGATCTGTAACTAGTAAGGAGATTGAATCAGTAATCAAAATTCTCCCAATTAAGAAAAATCCTGGATCTGATGGTTTCATTGGTGATTTCTACCAAACATTTAAAGAAGTAATACCAATCCTTCTCAAACTTTTCCAAAAACCTGAAAAGGAGGGAAGTCTTCCAAACCCATTCTGAGACAAGCATTACGGTGATAGCAAAATTCAATAAAGGTACTACAAGAAAAGAAAGCTAGAGACCACTATCCCTTAAGAACACTGATGCAAACAACCTCAACACAATACTAGCAAACAATTTAGCAGCATTTTAAAAGGATTAAACATCATGACCAAGTGGGAATTATTCCTAGAATGCAAGAGATGGCTCAACACATAAAAATCAATCAATGTAATATGCAACATCAAAAGAATGAAAGGAAAAAAAACCACATGGTCACCTCAATTGAGGCAGAAAAAGCATTTGATAAAATTCAATATTTTTCATAAGAAAAATACTTAACAAACTAGAAACAGAAGGAAACTGCCTTAAGATAATAAACTCCATACATGAAAATCCAACAGCAAACATCATGCTCAGTGGTTAAAATCTGGAACAGATCAGAACAGGCATGAACAACTGCTTTTACCACTTTTATTCAACGTGGTACTAGAAGTTCTAGTCAGAGCAATTAAGCAAGAAAAAGAAATATAGTTCTAACTTGGAAAGAAAGAAGTAAAATTATCACGGTTCGCAGAGGATATGATCTTCTACATAAAAAACCCTAAAGATTACACACAAACACACACACACACACACACACACACACACACACACACACACACACTGTAAAAACTAATAAATAAACTCAGTAAACTACCAGGATACATAGACAATATTTAAAAACCAGTTGTGTTTCCATAGCATATTACATTTACCTTTTAAATTCACATTTTTTATAAATGTTCAGTATCCCTAACATATGCTATTAAAAGAGCCCTGTAAAACAAAGACTATTATTAAATCCTCAGTACCACTTTTTGAGATGCTTCACTCCTTTGTAGTAGTTTTAAAAATAAGGTTTTCCAATTAAGAGATCTTGATCAACATTATTGTCTAAGCTTACCAGGTCACTTTTGTTCTTGTGACATCTTACAGATTACTTTGATATAAGAATATCTTCAGTTGGCAACTCTACCCCCCAGTTCCATAAACCTATTTCACCTCTGAGAACTGACCATTTTAAATAGGGTGCATTGTGTTGTCAAGGATAAAGTCACCATGATTAACACATTTTTAATGCTTATGAGAGGTTTATTAATACATATACTAAGTATTACACAATTTTACTTTCCTTCAATTTAAATTTCTTTCTACTAGTTACACATCTTTTCAGTCTCCATAAAAAGCCCAAGAGTTATTTGGCTACAGTACAACTTGTCACACAGAAAGCAAAATTAAATCAACTTTGTGGGAATGTTTAAGAAGAGAGGCAAAATGAAAATGGATTTAGTAACATATAACATTATTTCCTCTAAGGAGCATCCTACTTACCCAACATTACAAACATAATGAGCCTCTGAGCCAAACAGAATACTTCCATTTGGGTAGTCTACTTGGCCATTTGGGGGATCCCCTAGGTTAGGACACTGTTTTCCTAAAAGGAAAATTTCAAATTCGTTGTTTTATACCAGTTTCAAAACAGATTTGAATCAAATTCAATATTCTACATTGCTCACTTGAATTCATGGGAATATTATTATCTTTTATTATTTGCTTTCTTTAACTATTATAACATCAAAGAAGATTCACATTTACCCAGGCAACCAATTGTGGAAAAAAATGTTCCCTGGAGAGTTTTCAAAGCCTGAATGCACTGCTGTCTAAAACCTACCCATTTCAGTCATAAAATATGAACCCTAAAATGTGTGAAAAATCTCTAGAGCAATAAAAAAGTTTTTTGAATTAAAAAAAAAAAAGTTTTGTTTACTTACTTGTACAGGCCTCCTGGAGAAGTGACCACATACCATCATTCTGACAAACAGCAGAGGTAGGAAGAGGAGGACGCTTGGGCTGGTAACCTAGGCGACATTCATACTGTACACTCTCCCCAGGGCTATAACTGGGTTTAGGGACACCCGGGAGCCGCATAGATTCATACCTTGGTGGCTCACCACAGGCATCTAGGTATAAGAGAATAAGAGCATAAAAATATTTTATCTCATTCACCAGCCAGGGACTGTGGCCTGGCATCAGGTAGGTAGTACAGAATAAATGGAAAGGTTCTCAGCAAGATTTTAAATGACTGTCCCATGCTTTTACCCAACTGGTGGTGTATGTGCCTTACTTACATTAAATAACAACCTATTAACTTTTGGTTTGTTAGGGAATAAGATGAATTTTTATTCAAGAGTAAATTAAAGAGATAGCATCAATGTTTTTAGTTTTGAAATATAAATACATTTTAGGTATGTATCCTTCCCCACTTTTTTCTAAATTCATTTCAAAACTCACCTCTCCTCTAAGAAGTCTCCTACAGTATACAGCACTCTGTTCAGATTACTCTTCCATAGTTTGAAACACAAGCATATGATCACTTGTCATTTCAGGCTCAGTTTCCTCTCAGAAGGCAAGGTCCTAGAGGGCAGTGATCATATGCCTTCTTTCTCTACTACACTCTGTACTCAGTTGGTACTCAAGACATGCTATGGTAAGAGATCAATATAAAATATGCCTTGTAAGATTCATAAATCAAAATAATTATGGACCGAAGTATTTCAAAAAATAATACTCAGTTTCATTTGTTTCCTATTAGTGAATTGAGCATTTTAAAAGTGGTGAATAGACACCATGTAAATATCAAAATGTACTATCTGAAAAGCATTACATGAAAAAACAACTTGCTCTCTTTGACATTACTTTAAATATAATTTAACTTTCCTTCACAGATCAATGGATTGCTCATTCCTCAGAAGCTCCCTGAGGTAGCTGTTTGGGTTGTTTATCCAATATATTCCAACAGTAAAGCTATTATATTGTTATGCTTTTATAATTTTGTACTTCTGGGATTTTTTGGGGGGGTGTTGAGGGAAGGAGTTTTTTACTCCCTAGAATAATGTCATTTCTACCTCAGCAAGCCCTCTTGCTTTATTTTTTTTGCTTTTTTTTTTTTTTTTTTTTTGCGGTACGCGGGCCTCTCACTGCTGTGGCCTCTCCCGTTGCGGAGCACAGGCTCCGGACACAAAGGCTCAGCGGCCATGGCTCACGGGCCCAGCCGCTCCACGGCATGTTCGTGCCCGGACCAGGGCACGAACCCGTGTCCCCCGCATTGGCAGGCGGACTCTCAACACCTGCGCCACCAGGGAAGCCCCCTCTTGCTTTTAACTATCTGGGCACTTGATAACCTAACAAATCTGTTAGAAAAATTATGTAAAACAATGTGATGGAGACATATTAAGTCCTAAAGGACTAAAGGAATTCAGAGGCCTCTCTTATAAAGTTAAGAACCTAAGGAGGAGATGGGTGCAAGCCACGGTTATCAGCGCGGACCCCAGAGACCGGCATCAGACGCTAAGGCTGCTGCTGCCGCCACCAAGAAGCCTGTGTGCAAGCACAGGTCACTACACCTCCCCTCCCGGGAGCCTGTGCAGCCCGCCACTGCCAGGGTCCCGGGATCCAGGAACAACTTCCCCGGGAGAACGCACGGTGCGCCTCAGGCTGGTGCAATGTCACGCTGGCCTCTGCCGCCGCAGAGTCACCTCACATTCCATGCCCCTTCCTCCCCCTACGCCAGCCTGAGTGAGCCAGAGCCCCCCAATCAGCTGCTACTTTAACCCTGTCCTGACTGAGCAAAGAACAGACGCCCTCAGGCGACCTACACGCAGAGGTGGGGCCAAATCCAAAGCTAAACCCCAGGAGCTATGCGAACAAAGAAGAGAAAGGGAAATTTCTCCCAGCAGCCTCAGGAACAGCGGATTAAATCTCCACAATCAGCTTGATGTACCCTGCACCTCTGAAATACCTGAACAGACAATGAATCATACCAAAATTAAGGTGGTGGACTTTGGGAGCAACTGTAGACTTGGGGTTTGCTTTCTGCATCTAATTTGTTTCTGGTTTTATGTTTATCTTATTTTAGTATTTAGAGTTTATTATCATTGGTAGATTTGTTTATACATTTGGTTGCTCTCTTCCCTTTATAAAAATATATAGATATATATTTTTTCTTCATTTTTATCTTTTTCTGAGTGTGTATGTGTACGCTTCTTTGTGTGATTTTGTCTATGTAGCTTTGCTTTCACAATTTGTCCTAGGGTTGTGTTTGTCCATTTTTTTTTTTTTTTTAGTATAGTTTCTAGAACTTGTTATCATTGGTGGATTAGATTTTTGATTTGGTTGCTCTCTTCTTTCTTTCTTTCTTTTATTACTTTAACAATTCTTTAAATTTTTAATAATTTTATTTTCTATTTTAATAACTTTATTTTACTTATTTATTTCTTTTTTTCTCCCTTTTCTTCTGAGTTGTGTGGCTGACAGGGTCTTGGTGCTCCAGGCGGGTGTCAGGCCTGTGCCTCTGAGGTGAGAGAACCGAGTTCAGGACACTGATCCACCAGAGACCTCCGGCGCAAAGTAATATCAAACAGTGAAAGATCTCCCAGAGATGTCCAACTCAACCCTAAGACCCAGCTCCACTCAATCACCAGCAAGCTACAGTGCTGGACACCATATGCCAACCAACTAACAAGACAGCAACACAACCCCACCCTTAGCACAGAGGCTGCCTAAAATCATAATAAGGTGACAGACACCCCAAATCACACCACTGGACGTGGTCCTACCCACCAGAAAGACAAGATCCAGCCTCATCGACCAGAACACAGGCACTAGTCCCCTCCACGAGGAAGCCTACACAACCCACTGAATCAACCTCACCCACTGGGGTCAGACACCAAAAACAATGGTAACTACAAACCTGCAGCCTGTGAAAAGGAGACCCCAAACACAGTAAGTTAAGCAAAATGAGAAAACAGAAACACAGCAGATGAAGGAGCAAGGTAAAAACCCACCAGACCAAACAAATGAAGAGGAAATAGGCAGTCTACCTGGAAAAGAATTCAGAGTAATGATAGTAAAGATGACTCAAAATCTTGGAAACAGAATGGAGAAAATCCAAGAAACGTTTAACAAAGACCTAGAAGAACTAAAGAGCAAACAGACAATAATGAAAAACACAATGAAATTAAAAATTCTCTAGAACGAATCAATAGCAGAATAACTGAGGCAGAAGAACCGATAATTGACCTGGAAGACAAAATAGTGGAAATAACTACTACAGAGGAGAATAAAGAAAAAAGAATGAAAAGAATTGAGGACAGTCTTAAAAACCTCTGGGACAACTTTAAATGCACCAACATTCGAATTATAGGGGTCCCAGAAGAAGAAGAGAGAAAGAAAGGGACTGAGAAAATATTTGAAGAGATTATAGTTAAAAACTTCCCTAATATGGTGAAAGGAAATGGTCAATCAAGCCCAGGAAGTGCAGAGTCCCATACAGGATAAATCCAAGGAGAAGCATGCCAAGACACGTATTAATCAAACTATGAAAAATTACATACAAAGAAAAAATATTAAAAGCAGCAAGGGAAAAATAACAAATAACATACAAGGGAATCCCCATAAGGTTAACAGCTAATCTTCCAGCAGAAACTCTATAAGCCAGAAGGGAGTGGCAGGACATATTTAAAGTGATGAAAGGGAAGAACCTACAACCAAGATTACTCTATCCAGCAAGGATCTCATTCAGGTTCGATGTAGAAATGAAAACCTTTACAGACAAGCAAAAGCTATGAGAATTCAGCACCATAAACCAGCTTTACAACAAATGCTAAAGGAACTTCTCTAGGCAGGAAACACAAGAGAAGGAAAAGAACTACAATAACAAACGAAAACAATTAAGAAAATGGTAATAGGAACAGACATATGGATAATTACCTTAAATGTAAATGGATTAAATGCTCCAACCAAAACAAAGGCTGGCTGAATGGATACAAAAGCAAGACCCATATATATGCTGTCTACAAGAGACCCACTTCAGACCTAGGGACACATACAGACTGAAAGTGAGGGGATGGAAAAAGATATTTCATGCAAATGGATATTCAAAGAAAGCTGTAGTAGCAATTCTCATGTCAGACAAAATAGACTTTAAAATATAGAATGTTATAAAAGACAAGGAAGAACACTACATAAAGATCAAGGGATCAATCCAAGAAGATATAACAATTGTAAATATTCATGCACCCAACATAGGAGCACCTCAGTATATAAGGCAAATGTTAATAGCCATAAATGGGGAAATCGAGAGTAACACAATCATAGTAGGGGACTTTAACACCCCACTTTCACCAATGGACAGATCATCCAAAATGAAAATGAATAATGAAACACAGGCTTTAAATGATACATTACACAAGATGGGTTTCATTGATATTTTTTGGACATTCCATCCAAAAACAACAAAATACACTTTCTTCTCAAGTGTTCCTGGAACATTCTCCAGGATAGATCATATCTTGGGTCACAAATCAAGCCTTGGTAAATTTAAGAAAATTGAAATCATATCAAGTATCTTTTCTGACCACAATGTTATGAGACTAGATATCAATTTTAGGAAAAAAAATCTGTAAAAAATACAAGCACATGGAGGCTAAACAATATACTACTAACCAATCACTGAAGAAATCAAAGAGGAAATCAAAAAATACTTAGAAAAAAATCTCAATGAAAACACGACGACCCAAAACCTATGGGATGCAGCAAAAGCAGTGCTAAGAAGGAAGTTTATAGCAATACAATCTGACCTCAAGAAACGAGAAACATCTCAAATAAACAACCTAACCTTACACGTAAAGCAATTAGAGAAAGAAGAACAAAAAACCCCCAAAGTTAGCAGAAGGAAAGAAATCATAAAGATCAGATCAGAAATAAATGAAAAAGAAATGAAGGAAACAATAGCAAACATCAATAAAACTAAAGGCTGGTTCTCTGAGAAGATAAACAAAATTGATAAACCATTAGAGAGACTCACCAAAAAAAAAAAAGGGAGAACTCTCAAATCAATATAATTAGAAATGAAACAGGAGAAGTAACAACTGACAGGGCAGAAATACAAAGGATCATGAGA